AATCCGCCATATTTCGGCCACTTCGTTTGTAATGTTCGCATAGAAAATCCACATATTTAGTTACAAATGTTAGAAAAATCACAACTCAATGAAACTATCAACTTACTTTTTAAATCAACATAACAATAGTGAAAGTATTTTAATACAAGATAAGAATTTGCGGATTGGTGACTGAAAATTTGTGATAAGCGCTAATGACTTCAGCAGTGACGGTGGATTTTAGTTGAATTAGCAAAACCCATGCATTGGAGACGAATGGGAAATTAATTGATGATTTAAACCTTTTGGAGAGAAGTTGTGCATATCAAAAATAAAAAGAGGAATAAAAATTTAAATTTTGAAAAACATAAAAATCTACTAGCATTAGTCATTTCAAACGTAAAATAACGAGCATATAATAAAGAAATTCTTTGCTGGTTAAGTTCCAATTCTTGCGAAAGGTTTCTTGAGCAAACCTTCATTTCATTTGATACGCTAAAAAGTACTTGTTTGAATTGCTTTGCCCATATTTGAGCCTCGTTTTTGTAATAAAATGTGTTTCAGAATAATATTTTTTTCAAAAATCTGTGACAGAAAATTAAAAATAAAATAAAATTGAATTTAAGTGTAATATTATGAGTATGTTTGACTAAGCTTAAAATCCAATTAAAATTGAAAGTATAGTCTTCATTGGATTCCACTCGTCGAATAAAAGTCAACAATAACGACTAATTTTTCAATTTTAATATATACCAAACATGCCCTATTTTATGAAAGAAACAGGGGTTGGAAATAAGTTCTGAAAAAATGGAAGCAAATTCATCTTCTCTCTCCCATTTTGCCTCACAAGATTTGTCATTGAGCTTAAAATCCAATTCAAGAGACTGTTGACTTGGGATGCAATGGCACATTTCTACCTCCCCTCAAATTCTACTTGTGAAACTAAGCCTAACATAGCCCAAACTTTTTTACCAATGTTACAAATCACACTGGTCATAGAAAGGATAAAAAGTCTCAACAGAGATGGAACCATTAATAAAAGATGAACTGACCAGTTCTTTGTGTGAAATGGCAAGTTAACTTCTTTTCAACTTTCTGGGTTTTCATGTTTGACAACATATTCTCAGTTTCACCTGTCTAACTGACCGGACTAGTTCAGTTTTGACAACGTTGTTCAAATAATAATACAAATAACTCCAACAATAGATGCGAGATTCCGTGAGAATGGCAATTATTCAAGGAAACTCAAAAAAATAATGATAAATGCAAAGCCACAGCAGCAATAGGCCAATTTTTCAGGAAAATCAGCCACAGAAGTCGACTCCTCCAACCTAACTGACAAGCTTCCATTAGTGAGAATGCTCAAACCCAATTATTCACCCCAACCTTGAAATATATGGAGCCACCATAAGAAGAAACTACTAACAGCAGCAATTTTGATAATTGTGGACCTGAGATAGATATAACAAAACAAACATGAATGAGATTTATGATTCGAAAAGCACATTAGAGAATATCAAATATACTGCAGCAAGTACCTGCAGAGGCTGAAGCATCCGTCAATCATGAATACGACCACATTGTATGAAGTCTAATTTTCATGAGTTCCTTTTTAAATTTCTGCGACCCCAATGCTAAATGACACCATAAATATGAAACTAAACCAGACTCTAAAATACAGAACATCAGGAGACCACCTCATGCCTTGCCACAAGAATTCCCAATTCTAAATGGCATGCTGTTTAAGACAGGATTTGCAGAATATATTTTATTCCTCTTGGACCTTCTGAGTTTCCAAAGAAGTTTGTTGATATTACAGAAGAACAAGAAATTGAAAGCGAACGTTTGTTCCCATGGCCAGAATTGTCATCAGTTATTATCGAAACTACCCATTTCCATGTTTCAAACAAAATTTGCCCACTCCTCAGAGTCTCCGCTAGTAAAATTCAAAGTCTGTGCAGTAGCATTGTAACCACAGTCACACTGGCTGATTTCCTGCGTTATTCATAGTAAAATTTTAAATGCTAGGCGAAAAAATTTAAACAAGACTAATGTAAACATCTTTGACAAATATAAAGATCAATAAAAACGAAAGTTTTCTGTTAAAAGCACATTACGCTAAGGTGAAAAAATGTGAAGTTACATTTAAATAATTTTTTGCCTCCAAAGAAGTTTGGAAAACCCCCTTTTTTTCCCTTTTACTTTTAAGTGAAAAGTTAAAACATATCTTTGAAAGTAACTCCTAGTGACAAAATAAGCAACCCAGTCACCCTGGCTGCTTTCCTGCATTATTCATAGTAAAATTTTAAATGATAGGTAATATGATTCGGGATAGGCAATCGCTTGGTCGAGTT